AACTGTGGATATAATACAGTGCCAGTTGGCCTTTCCTGAAGCGTTGCTCTTAGTATTCTGGCATATCTCTCTGTGAGAGCGTCGTCTATATATATATATGGTTCTTTATATTTTAAAAAAATATACATATTACGATTTTTACAATTTATTTTTTTCTTTGGATCAAATATTTTGATATACAATGTGCATGCAGAATGGTATACAGAATATGTATACCGAATAATTATTGCTTACTTAAACTATTAAATTTGAAAAATAGAAGAGGCATTAATTGTATAAATTAATGGGGTATATTTTGCAAGCTTTATTATAAGACTGTTTACGCTAACAAGGTTTAAACAAAAAAATTCTGTTATTTTCTTTGTCTGTGTTTGTTTTATTTATAGTATATTATGTCTAAAATGCTTTATAGTAATGTTTAAAGTGTAATTTAAAGAAAATTTATAATAAGTATTGAATTTTATATTTGTAAAATATGTGCTTCCTACTAAAAATTTTTTTTAGCATGTAAGGTAAAGTTTATGGTGTTTGCTATTCTTAATTTAATAATCAGGTATTATCACATTTTAATTATTAATTAATGAAATTGCTTGTGTGTGAATATAAAAACGAGATATTTTTAATAATTACAAGTAATGTATAATTGATATACTGTTAGATTTTTAACTTATCTTGTGATATTGTTATGCGATCAAATCTTTGTTGTAATATTTATGCAATAAATTGAATGCATGGAAGATGTCTAGCAATCTCATATATTAAATGCTTATAAATCTTACAGAGTGCTCATGAAGGGGAAGTATTTGCTGTTAAATGGTCGCCTACTGATAGAATATTGGCTACTGGAGGTACTGACAGGAAGGTGAAGCTTTGGAACATTAATAAAGGTAAATAACAGAATTGATATGATATATTTTTTCAATAATACTATTAAATTTATTTATCTTGTTTTTAAGAAAGTTTGAAATCTAATTAAGATTAAATCGGAAAATTAAGAATTGTTCTATAGAAATTTCCTTTTTTTGTGCTGTCACATGTCGCTCTCCTGTTTCAAAAATAACAACTGAAAAAATCATATTTGTCAAAAAAGGGGAAAATTCTTTCAATCTAACAAAAAATTATTTATTAATATGATATGAAACAATATTGGTAAAAAAAATTCTTAACATGGTCAAACGTCATTTTTGTCATTTTCATTTTACAATCCTTAAAAATTTATCCTTTTTGTGTTGTGATGTTTTTTAAAATTATCCTTTTTTTTTTTTGAGTTGTAACAATTTTTTTGAAATTAAGTTAATTCACCTTTGATGATTGATAAGGTAATCTTTATTTAACTCATGGTAATAACTTGAACATCACTTTTTTTTTATTGCGTCACTTTTAAAGTGAGGGATTGATGTTTATTATATTTAATAATTAAATAAGAAGTGATTTAATACTAAAGTGAAGTGATGAATGATTTATTAATTTAATTTTTTAATATTAAACATTCTAAATTTTAAATGTATATAAAAACATTATTTTATCTATTTTTATGAAATTTTAATAATTAAGCGTGCATGTTTTGAAAATTTTATTTAATTAAATTTTTATCTATTTAATTAAAGAATTTTATAATTTCCTTCAAATGAAGCATCGTTTGCATTCATTTGAGAATTCAACCAATTATGTAATTTTGATCTTAGTATGTTTCGTCTTGGTTGGTCTCTAATTTCCCTGATTTGCATATAAAATTTTAAAGCCTTGTGTCCACGATGCTAAAAATCGTTCTGATATCTCGTAATGTGATTTGTTAATTTCATCTCTGTACGAGATCTCGAATCGATTTCTAGCATCGTGGACACAAGACTTTAGGAAAACTCGTTGAAGGTTGTCGCGAATATTGCTGATCGTCGTGGTGAGAAGAGTGTAAGTCGCAATTTAAGGTGTTAAAATGCGTATGGAGAAAAGATTGCGATTAGTCGGAGCATTCACGCAAGTAAACGACACCCTGAACGTGTAACAATCGCGAGTATCGCGTTTGAGCATTGCGAAGAGTGAGATCCCGCCAAGAGAGAATTTATCTACCACTTGTTTTATTATTCAAATTCTCTCTCTCTCTCTCTCTCTCTCTCGCCCGCGCGCGATGACGCGGTGGCGCGGCGGCATTTAGTAAACATGGCGGGTGCTGTCCTTCGCGCTCGTTTGAACGGTGTCTTCGCGAGACATTTTCCGCAGTTTTCCTTATTCGTTTGCGATTATGAATCTCTGATGCGTCCTCCATATAATCATTAAGAACGGACAATTCTACCGAATTGAATGAATCTTTACGAACAGAAGACGAAAATGTGCGAATTTACGAGAACGCTGCGTACTTGCATCAGGTATAGGCCTTAGGTACATTGTCTCTATAATTTTGTAACTCTTAACAATTCTTAACAGTAACGATATTGTTATATTGTCGTTTCGCTGCTTTTTTTTTACACCATGAGACCTGCGTAACGACAATATAATGATATCGGATGTGTTCACTTTGACGCTCACAACGCTTTAAGCCTCATTTTATTTTTATTATTTATTAAATATTAAGGACAAATGATGCTCACAAGTACTGTAAGCGTTAAAATGAACACAATCGGTATTGTTATAAAATAGGGGCCATAACAGCGCAATTATTTACAAAAATTATTTCGACTAAAAATTAATTAATTTAGTTGTCTTTATTTCTTTAGTTGGTTGTATGTACTTAAGTATGTACTTACCCGAGTGCATCAACGTTACTTTGATCTTAAGCGAAGCTTAAAACTTTCGTCTCTGTCTCTCTTTCGCTTTAAAACGAGACAGAGAGTTTTAAGTCTTGAGAGTTTAAAGTCAAAGAGTAACGTTGGTGCAACCGGGCCTAAGTCAAATATAATATGGAATATTTAAATACATTCATTCTTTATCGAAACAAATCAAGACGTATTAAATTAATTTAGTCAAATGAACCATTTTTTCTTCAGTGTACTTAGAAAAAGAAAGAAAGCGAAAATCAGAAATAGATTTGTTCGTGCCGATTTACTCCAATATGCTTTAACATGTCTTACCATAGCTTCTATTTACTCTAACGAGATGGAGCGTGTTGGAGCATGTTGAGGCATGCTAGAGCATACGACACGAACAAACTTAATGGAATAGAAAAGATGTTTTTTATTTGGTGACATAAGTCGACGCAAGTATTGTTCTATCTTTGTTACTACTAAATACCAAGAAAGATATGTTATATTGTATATAATAATATGTTATATATAATAATGTTTATGTCGATTTATTAAATGGAAAGCATCCAGAAGTGTGTAAAGAGCAAAGAGAGATTCTTAATTTCTAGAGATTTTCATTATTACGATTAGCAAAATAATTTAAATCCATGTCACACTTTATTGAAGATTGAGGATTGCGAATTTAAGATGAAGTCCAGTCTACAATTGTAAGAGTCGTAATCAGACTAGAGATTGAAATTGAACTGAAATTTAACCATTCAAAGCAAAATTCACTAAACTTGAGATTAATTTTCTTTCTTCTGATTGGTTAAATTTCAGTCTCAATTTCAATCCTAATCTAATCATGGCTTAAATGGTTGTAGTTGTAAGAATTGACCAATCACAGTCGATTATCCTCCTTATATTTGACTATAATTGATCAATTCTTACAACCTTAAAATTCAGCTAATCAAACAAAAAAGATGAAAATTAAAATTATCTGACTTGGTAGAATTCTAATCTATAATTCGCAATTCTCAATCGGGGCTTTAAGGGCTGCACACAATGAAAAGAATAGGAAACAAAATAAAGAACTGGGAATTGATTGTGTATCTTGAACGAAGTAAAAATTACAAAACCGAATTTTCTAGAATATTTATAATTTCATTGATCATTACCTATTGAATTTACTTTCGTAATTTTTACTTTATTTAAAATATTTAATCGGATCTCGTTCTCTATTCTCTGTTCTTTATTCCTTTGATTGTGCGGAGCTCCTTAGACTTGCTTTTCAAAGCAAACTCGTTCATCTGCATTATGCAGGTACTCGTCACAGTTTTGTCGTCTATTAACATCCGGTACATGTAATCCATTAAGGTTCCGTTTGAATTAAGGTTTTTGCTTATAAACTTGATCGTAACGACGAAAGTGATTTCCGAAAGACTGATATGTAATTTAATTTCTCATGATCTTTTCTCTGATGGATTTATGTGACATATATGTACGTTTGACATATCCGATGAACAAAGGCACATTACATATTGTTCCTTTACTCTAAAGTGACACAGCTAAAAAAATCTGATTTTTTAGTTATTATGAATAAGTAAATAAATGAAGTAAACACTCTAGCATCAATTAATTTTATAAAAATTGTCAAGATTATCACAATTCGAAAAGAGTTTTTAAAAACCATCATAAAAAAAAAGGATTTTATGGATTGTGAAATATTAAAAATGAGATTTGATTTTAAGAACATTTTAAGAATATATTCTTTCTACAGACATTATTTGATTAGTCTCAATAAATTTTTTATTAAATTAGTTTTTCCCTTTTTCTGAGAAACATAATCTTTGAGTTGTATTTCTTTTGAAGCAAGAGGACGATATTATTTATATTTTTATGCTATTTATTTATTGATCAAAGGTAAAAGACTTTTTTTTGCTCTTCCAACGTTCCGTTTGGAATCTGATTTCCGTCGGCATCTCGCCGCGTCTCCGTTCCACGCGGACGGCCGCGGTATCACTTTTTCTTAAGAAATTCCCCGCGATCCACTTAATGAAGTATATTAACGAATCAACAGGTTACTTTGCGCATCGTTATAGTTCACCTTTGCGACGTATACTAAAAGCTGCCCCGTCGCTTCGAAATCATTTCACCGTATTGTAACGTAGCTGCGATCGTGCATGCTATAATGTTCTCGAATGTAATCCTCTCTCTCCGTCTCCTCTTACAAATTAGATGAAACATTCGTCCTTATTGTACGGGTTATATCCGCTTAGCACGAGGTCTGTTATTCTAGATCTACACGCATTCTCCATTTCTCGGCTTTGTTCTGCGCGCTTCTTCATTGCTCTCCTCTGTTTCTATCTTTACATTTTCTCTCTCTCTCTCTCTCACACACACACACTCTCTCTCTCTCTCCCACACACACACACACTCTCTCTCTCTCTCGCACTCTCTCTCTCTCTCTCTCTCTCTCTCTCTCTCTCTCTCTCTCTCTCTCTCTCTCTCTCTCTCTCTTTCTCTGCCTGCTTTGAGGTGCTTATAACTTGCTCCCTTTGGATTGCAGCGCGGTTTGCTCGCTGCCAATTAAGCCGTCAGGGCATAAATTTAATTAGTCATATTCAGAGACTAACGCGCGGTATAGACCAAGCGAAGAAAGAGAGGCAGGTATAGAATGAAACGGTCGTGCAATACGAACCAAAGTAATTGATGTGGACACGTAAATGCGAAGAATTAAATTCAAACATCGTTATGTAGCAGTACGATGACGTATCCATGAATATTCTGTTGCAGATACATCGGAAAACAAGGGCATCCTCGTTGGCAGTAACGCCGGTGTGATGTCGGTGGACTTCGATTCAACAGGCACTCTTATTCTTGGAGCATCCAACGATTATGCGAGCCGCGTCTGGACCGTCAGTGATCTCCGCCTAAAGGTAAGTTTTTGCATCCATTGTTTTATCTATATGTACTTTTAGTGCACCTCCAAAAACTTATATAGCTAAAGGATATCTAATTTGTAAGACATATCCTTATGATCTATATATGTGTTAGAATGACACATGGTCTTTTTCATGGTTATTTTTGCGTAAATATATAACGTTCGAATAACGTCATGATATAAAGTTACGATATTCAGTTGAACTGTAGGACCTCGTTTTGTCTTGTGTCTCTTCAGTTCTGTTATATAATTGCCGCATACATAAAGGTTTGCGTGATGAACGAAAGAAGGGACAAGTCCAATATTATAAAAATTGATTGCGGACTAACAATGAAATTGACTTCTGCATTTCTATCAGAATATTTGCAGAAAACTTTTAGGTAGAAATTTATAAAAAAATTTTTATAAAACACGAAGGAATTTAAATATATATGAAATAAAATGATCGCATTTGCAATAATTAGCGGATAAAAGAGACGTATTTTTAGTATTTGCTGCATGTGTCAAAGAGTAATAAGTGACATAGCAAACGTTTAAAATCATTTATTAGGAAAAAGAGAATTTTTAAGTATTTTTTTATTTTGTTTATTGTGCAAAATAAATATATCGCTCGTTGCGTTTTTTTTATCTAAGTTAATATCAATAACTGTTTAAAAGGCTTCAAATTTCTGAGTTTCGATTATTACTCAAATGTATTGCTACTGGCTCGTAATTATACCACGGTTCTATGAATACTCATGAAAAGTCGAATGTATTAGCGGCTTCATCCCTCTCACAAAGAGATAGGACGTTCCGCGTCCGATACTCGAACGAAATATCGAAAATTCATCTGACAACGCTGAGTTTGCAAATTTTTTTTTAAATCCGCAGATTACGAATATAGGTAGCGTAGTTCGAAATTACGCGAAAAGTCATAAATAAAATGTCATGAACCACCGCTGACGTGTTCTATTTTTTTCTTTTTTTACAAATATATTTTTTATTTTCAAGTGCTTTTATCAGATTATCGACAAGTTAGATAGAAAATATGATAAATCTAAAAAAGATAATTATATAATTTATATTTATGGAAAATTATATACATTTATAAAATAACAATGTCCACGAAAAGAGCTTTGATTAAAAAAAAAATTTTTTTTTATAAAATAATTTTTCTGTCCTTTAAACTAATCAATTAATAAAAAGAATCCTACTTTTTGGTTAAAGCGAGTTTTAGTGTTAATAATACTAAATGCAAATCTTTGCAAATATATTTCAGTTTTATAAACTGCGTGCCGATACGGCTTGTTGGTCCTGAAGCGCAGTTGCAAACTGAAGCTGAAATTAATATCCCAAAATAGATTGAGTGTCCATTTTAATATTGTAGTGATGGTAGTAAGCATCTTAGGAACTTGTAAATAATTTATTGCGAAAACTTATTTATCTTATTATCTTAGTCAGAATATTTTTTGCAATAAATTATTTACAGACTTTTAAGATGCTTGTTAGCATCACTATTAAAATAAACGATCAATCTAATTTGGAATATTAAGCACTAATTGTAAGATCCGTTTTGATCGAAAATAGGATTATTAATTGATTTATTCTCGCTAGTCTAATTTTGACTTATAATTGTTTCTTCAAATTAATTTCACGGAAAATAATTTTGAAAAATTGAAAACAGCATTGGAACGCCACAGGCATTTTTTTATATTTATTTGCAATAATTTGCTCTTTTAATCAACCGGGTGTTAGACCATAAGCGTACCTATGACTGTACTCAATCAAGCTTTCATACTGTATTGCGCGAAGTATAAAAAGAAGTTACATTAAGATGGAACAAATGGCCTAACAACTGCAGTAATGAGACGCGCTCGTCTCTCGTCTCTCGTGAAAACCTGATTGGCTGTAAGGACGTGTCCCAGGAAGTGCATAAAGGGATGTCTCGCAAAACATGCATTAAATTACAGGTCTGTTCCGTTGGCGAGACAGCTCGTGAATCTACCGGCTGTAGAATATGAAATTTATCGTCACCTTCTTCCCTCGCGATCTATTACCGTGCAGCTCATGTAAATCTGCTACGTTGGCGCGATCGTAAAGCTAATGGCAATGCACAAAAAGTCAGTCAGGACCGAATTGCTTCATGAACTTTACCGCGGATCGTTACTCCTGTTCATGCATAATATCTATGTATATTTTGAAAGGCGATCCGTCTTTTTAACCCCACTATCTAAAGTTTGTTTACTCTTTTACTCTTCTCTCATCGTTGCCACATTGACTTTCTTCAACTATTTTTCCGCAATTCTGCATTTTCTGTTCTGAAACTATATTATTATATATAGAAAATCACCATGCGAGAGACTGGTTGATCATTCCAGTTTAATATTTGTATATTAAATATTAAATTTCATATTTTAGCAATGTTTTCAGTAATAATTGACAATCATTTTGATAATTTTTAGATGATTTCTATGGCATTATACAGACTATTCGAGATAATATTTATTTTTTCACGTCGTGCTTTCACTACGATTCTCATGTTGCGAATCGAATCACGACAGATTAACTAGATTAAAACAATTGATAAGCTCCAGGATTAGACAGATGATCGTACAGATGACGTACATTTATAAATTGATTTTTATTTACTGTTCGCGTTGATCTTTTATCAGTTTCTCTCTGAAAATACGTTACTGAAAATTCATTAATTACTTTACAATCAATAAATCTTTCAAGTATTTACTTTTTAAACCTTCCATTATTTACACCTGCTACAGGACTAAATAGCAGGTATAAATGGTCAGTTTGAAATTTGGATCGCGGAAAACAGCACGTTATATAATAGAAAGACTTTGGTTACAAGACTTTTGGTTGATGCGTGTCGAATGTGGCGGTCAAAGTTTAGCATATGGCAGTAAATGCTTGATCACTTCTAATGTACGGTATTTCCTTTGATCTACGCCCGAGAGCCGGGCTCTCGTATGTAAGAACTTAAGTACATGGTTTGTCGATAGTCGACGGCATACGCGCGCGCGTTCGTGTATGGAGGAGTAATCAGGGATGATCGATCGCGATGAAACTTTGAATCCCACGCCGTACGTATGTCCCGACCTGCGCACCTCGTTACTTTGATAGGATTGTCAGAGTGTCGCACTGATGTAACATGATTAAACGCTGGGAGCAACCGGCGATGATTGTCGGCGAAGTCGACGGGAATCGACGGACGAGAGAGAAGCTTCTGCTTCTCGCAACCAGTTCTCGCAACTCTAGATGAGACTCAACGGTACTTTTGATTTGTGCCGTATATGACCAAATCAGCTGGCTCGGTCTTATCGTGAGCATTTCTCTTGCAAAACGATTCATAGAAGTCATCGACGTCTAATCGATTCGTCACGGTACGTTTCCAGAGACACATATAAGTAACCGATCGTTGAGCGAACGTTAATAATACCGTATGAGAATTTCGATGAGTCTCCCGTCGTTTCCATGCGAGCTACCACGTCGTGGTTTCAAGTATATCCGAGATAAGTTCTCTCCTCGGTGCAATTACACCGTGTACTCACGTTAGATCACGTGACAAGATTCGGCGAAGACGCTTGCTGGTTCGCGAGGAAGCATGGAGCGAGAAGAGAGAGATTGAACGGATAGTCTAACGCTACACCAGCCACACAATTCCATTACATCCCCGATGCGTCGTTTCCCCAACGTCGTTGTACAAGTTGCCGCTCGCGCGCAAGCGTTCGGCCTCGCAGTAATCGCCGTTTACAGCGTTGCGGTTTATCGGAGGAATACAATGTGTAATATATTCGCGCGCGAGCGCATACGTGAACCGGCGTGATCGCTCGCGTATCGTCGGGTGTGTTAGACGGGTGATTATTCGACGCGTCGTTCGAGAAATCGTAGCTGCGCCGTCTCGCGCGCGAGCCGTTCGTTGTTCCATCCAATCGACCGGATCCTTCGCTCACGCGTTTCCCCCCTGTCGTTCTTGCTCGCTTTTTCGCGCACCATTCGTGAAACAAGCCCTCGCCGGTAGTCTACTGAACGGCGGCAGTTTCATTCCGAAGATTGGTGGCCAATGGCGCGTAAACTCACGCGGGAAACAACACGCGGTCTCTGAGGGATTCGAGCTGTAACCAGTCTGTAGGTTATTCAGGCTGAGAGGTGCGAGAGCCGACCATCTGATGTTTATTCTCAAGTGCTCTGTTTCGAGAGCACGTAATAACATCTGTCGATCTTAACGAAATGCGCTTTTTCCTGCGAGTCCCTGCCGTTGCGGTATCCGCGACTCGTGTCTGCCGATCGTTCAATATATCTTTTTATGGATCTATTAATCCTGCGTTTTACGCGACATCAAACTTGCAGAAGATTGTTATAATATTATGAATATAAATTCTGTCTCGATAGAATGTAAATTTTTTTATTTATAATATTCATTATGTATTATATTTATCTTTTTTTGAAATTTTCACACACATTTTGAATAAAATATAATCTAGTTTATTTCCCTTCTGAGACAGCAAATTGTCAGCATATATTATAAGAGTGCAATGTGCTAAATCGTTTTGGCATAGATAATTTAATATTTATTTCAAAAATATCAAAGAAAGAAACATTTTTTACACTCGAAGCCGTATAGTAGACTTTCTGAGATATGCAAAAATTAACTTTTTTTTTTTTGGTTTCAAAAAGTACACTATACGTCTTCGAGACAAAATTAACATTTTATTTTTAACAGTGTAAGAATTTTATAGCAACGTGTTTATACTGCCCGCGTTATTAATTGGCATTCCGATCAGACTGTAATTTCTTCAGAGTTGCCACACAAAACAGTCCGCTAATATTATAATAAATACTACTGGTACCTATTTTATACTAATGGAAAGGGTTGTCGTTTATTTCACAAGAATTCCAGTAAGCGTCGATGTATCTTATTAACAAAAGAACTAACATTTTTACTATGTAACTTTTTTTAGTTGACACATATTATTATTAGCTATATACAACATTATCTACGTT